GATGTAAATTCAAAAGGAAGTCGCCCAAAGGAAATTAATTGATAAAACCCAACCACTGCAAACAATCTCAGGCCCTTAATGTTTAAGATGCATGTAATGTACAAATCAGATTGGCTGTCATGAGCTTTAAGAGATTGACTCAACCATGAAAATATAGTTCTGTTAAGCAAGGTGCTTCAAATGTGTATGGAATTTCAAGATACGACTCAAATATAAAAAAAGCACTGTCGCGTTCATTGTAGCCAAGTGGCTGTATAATTGAGTTGGGCTAAAGCCATCATCAGTTTAACATAGACTCCTCTAAAATATTTAAATATATAAAGTACAATTGTTGACACCGACGAGAACTGCCGCTGAGTAAACTGCATTATCAACCCTAGGTCAGATGCAATTCAAAATCTAGGGCTATTAAGTATTCAGAATATTGGAAATTAATTATCTAATGCTATAATCAGTTACTATTTAATAAAACTAAATACATTGTTGCATTTTAAAAGCATAGGCCAACATTAATTAGATTTCCAAATATGACCAAAGAGGGCAGTATTGATGCCTTAAAAATGTTTGCTTTTATTTTACAAATATTTTGTAGGTGTAGTGTTTATGATACTAAATAATTTAGTCACACATTTTTATGTAATTGAGGACCATAATTTTAGGTAAATACCCTATCAAAACAGTTTCACAAAAAAAACGAAACTAAAATTGCGACCAGCATTCGATATATTCAAATCACGTTTTTGGTTAATATAGTCCTACTGAACCCATTCCGTTGTATGCACTATACGATTTTGTATAGCAATTTCGTAATTTCTTTGTCAATCTTTGGACCAAATGAAAATTCCTATTTCGTATGGAGAAATATTTTTATTTTGTGAAAGGCAACATAAAGACACACAGCATTTTTAATGTTCAAATGTGCAAATATAACAAAGACAAAGCTACTATTAATACTGACAGACCTGTGGCACAATAGTAAGAGTGTCTGTCCATTTGGGAGATTGTGGGTTTGGCACCTTTGGTTGGCTGTACACTTGGCAGTGTAAATATTCTGTCCACTTTCTAGGCTCATGGTGTTTGTATACAGCAGAATTGCATCCTTTTGTAGGGCTGTCAGTTCCATGTTCCTATTGTGGAACTACATGTAAAAGATCCAGTTATTTATGCTGCAAAGCGTAGCAGATCCTAGGGATATCTGATGTATCCCATTCAGTGCAAGGGTTAGGCTTTTGTTTTCATTTCAGAGTCTGTATAAAATGGGCTTCAAGCCCTTGAACAGAAAATGATTCAAGTGGGTAATAGGCATCTTCAATCGATAGATACTGGCTAAATAAGTAAAGTTTCATCAAAGGCATTTAGAATGGAAGCCATTACTCATGGTTATGACACAAAGAATCTTTCACAAAACAAGACAATCTTTCATTAACGACTCAATCTACTTTTCATCAAGAGCACCTAGAAAATGTGGATATTACAGCATGACATACACTGCCATTAATAAGACAAATACAAGTATACATGCACTTGCTTTGATGCCTCAAATTAAAATATATTATACATCTGTCAACGAAAGCATGCCGTAAAATTTGCCATATTTTACAGGGTATTTTCATCCAACCATATTAGGAAATGGGAATTCCAAATATGGAATGATTATGCGAATAAGGGTCCTCTAGTAACAAAAACAAACATGGCTGCCACCAGGGTTTGACTGGACTCCACACAATAAAGTTTCCTGATTCAGTTCTAAACATTTTGGATGTCGCTGTTCCCATGATGCATCCTTGGAAGGAAAAGATATATAAAAATGAGGTTATTATGAGGATACATCAAAGTATTCACTGAGACAGTACACCTTCTCATCGACCTCCGCTGCGTGTCAGTCGATAGTCCGGCTGTACTGTCTTTGTGCATACTTTGAGGTATCCTCGTAATAACCTCACATTATTTGCATTTTCAATGTTAGAAATTATATTATTAAACCACTCGTGGTCATTTAACCCATTATTCTTGTAGGATATTTATTCCAGTAAACTTACACTGGGTTATGCCTTTATGAAGATTGTAAACCAACAATTATATATGCAGAATATGAAGCATAGCATACATTTGTTCACCATGTACGATGATTCACAGCAACTTTTGTACATGTAGCAAGGCCATAAATGACAAAATAATATTGTACAACATACTGCCATTTATTCCAACTATAATTTTTATTTTATCTAACTTTTCTCCAGATCTGAAAAACCTTTTCCTTTATTTGTTCATATTTCCCACTGCACCGAACCTCTTGAGCGTGTCTTTCAAAACCCAGACCACCAACACATCTGGGGTCATTACGGATTTTAGCATTGTGTTGGCCATCAACAGTATGCCTCCTAAATGACTTGTTTTCAATAGATGTGCGACAGTTCCATGTATGCTATAAAATGCTTATGAAACAACTTTGAGGGCACATTGTCTTCAGTCCCCACATCATTGTACAGTTTTATGTATATATACACAACAATATCATATTCTTAAAAGATAATATAGCGTATATCCTCCCATTAAATATTATTTAAAAATTCAACATATGAAATTACACAGAAAAAATAAATCCCACAGTCCTACTCCAATCAGTCTTACAATCTGAAGAGTTTTAGACAACCCTGGTTTCTGAGGCTGCAAACCATATCACAGTAGTTCATTGTCTTCAAATAAGTGTTCAGTGTTTGATTTTCCTCTGGTAATAGCATACGAGTCGGTTCATACATGAAAACCTAACAAGCTTTGGCCATTAAATCTACCACTGTATGTGAAATGTTTAATAGCTCTAAACCAGAGTTTTCACAAAAGTTTTCACTTGCTTCTAAACCAGTAATGGAAAGCCGGGTGTTCACTTTAAATTTAATTAAAGGCATACTATCATCCATCCCAAAGTAATACGGAGAATAATATAAAGACAATAAAAATATTTTAACCCCATTATTGTGGGAATAAAAGTACAGATAAATAAGCTAATATTCATGCATATTGCTGTGACTCACACACTGCCAAGAAAATATAGGTCAAGATATTCTGTAACCTGAATAATCTCATTGAAGTGACAATAGCTGTGATTTAGAACATTTTTTTTTTAAATATAACCACATAAAATGAACAAATCCTACCAAAATATTGTTTTAGACACAACTGCATGGGCAAAGTGACAAAGTTTATGTCATATAAAATGCAATGTGAAAACTAGTGTTAAGTTTTTAAAATTGGTCATGTCGTGGGGAACATAACTATTTGTGATGCACAACACACACTATTATGGAAATGACACATTAAATCATTGATGATAAGCCATCAGAGAGAGGCTTAGTCTCACAAGATGGCAATGTATTTGTCATTTATTCAAGTGCCCTTGGCATGGTGTCATCAATGTGACGTAATCTCCAAGGTTTGCTTGACAAAATCAGATGTCAATAGATGGCACTCTCTGGAGATCTGGACATAACCATGCTGCAATCTTTTTCTCCATGCTTTCAGTGTCCACATTCTATTACAAATTGGCACTAATGACACAGAAAATGTTTTATTAAAAAATAAAAATTGGAGAAATATTGATTGTTACAGCTATTGTCACTTAAATATCATGTACACGAAAATCAAGTTTGTCAACTTCAAACTACAAGCATTGGGGGAAAAATACTCTTATGTACAGTACACAATGGGGTAGAAACAATGTGCCCCTGAACAGGAGTACCAAGTAACACAAGGTGTCACCTATGTAATTTACCACTTGTATATATTCCGAGGGATAAATTGACTTTATACTTCTCTTTGTTTAGATACTATAATAATACTGTGCCTCAAATCAATTACTGTATAAAGTTTCTATAAACTCTAATTATCCAATGATAAACACATAATGAAAATCATAGATGTCAAATTTTGTGAAAACACAGATACATTCAAAGTAAATCATGGATACTACACTAATACCACTGCAGTATGGAGTACTTTCTGATTTGTTTTAAAAGAATAACAACTAAAATTCCATGTCAATACCTTCTACCTACAGCTGTTAGACCGTAATCCCAAAATCTTTAGTTTAGTAGATAACACACGATTTCCCCCCCCCCACAGGTCAAAGGTCATCAATTGAGTTATAATACAAATGGTACATTTCCCATAATTAGACAAGAAGGACTAATCAGCATTTGATCACATACAGTGTAGGTTACAAGTAAAAAATAATAAACTTAAGGTAGAAGCCTACTCATAATTTATGACAAAGTTTGTCAGAAATCGCATGACAATGTTGAATGGTTTATTATGTTAAATCATGACACTGACTGACACTGTTACAGCATTTTGGGGATCTTGTCCAAGTATTTTTCAAAAATCACAAAACAAATCATTGAATACAATGTTAAAGAAAAATTGAACTTTTTAAAACACAGATTTTTGAAACATAAACTACCCCATCATTCACAATATATGAATTTTTCACCAGCCTACAATTTTAGTTATGGCATAGTATCTCTGCCAGCGACCTATGGTGAATGCGTTACAATACCAGCAAAAATAGAACAATCATTTTTTTAAGAATTAGGCTGGTGACCTCAAGTCAATATCCTCATATTGCCAAGGAGTATAATTTATTATAAAATAAATTCTGGGTATCTGCTTTTATGAGTAGACTTCTACCTTAATGAGAAATTTATATTAAATTAAAAAATAAACTCACATAAATTACCTGCTGAATAAACTAATTTAGGAACAAAGTTTTAGTGCTGGCAGGAATAGTGAATAAAAGACCCTGCATGTATGTATGTTTGTTTGTTTTCTACTCAAGCACCACAGTCATATGAGTTACCCAGCAATCTCCAAGCCTACCTGGTAATACACAAATATAGATATAATTCTACCTGATATTCTAACTGTAATTAACAATGTTCCCAAACCTCATGACCACATTTGAAGTGAACCTGTTTACAATATGCTAAAACTACCAGAATTCCCAATTATGCAGTGATTGATTCGTCTTTGTCATTTTCTGTGCTGGTTTTCAGATCATCATCGTCTTTCACTAATACAGCAAAATTGATCCCACACATCATTGCTACTGACATCAAAATAGCACATATCAAGAAAATATTTTTTTCACCCAATCTAGATGGATCACCATGTAAAACCATCAACAGAATGCATGCAATGAGATTGAGAGGCACTCGAAACCAGTTCATAATCCCGGCACGATGAGCCTCAGGTAGGATCAAACTTCGCAGGAAACCCATAGCAGGAAAATACATACCACATCCAAATTCCAAAATTAAAAAAGCTATGTACGAACATGAGGGACTAAAATACTTAGGGTGAGAGGATCCAACACAAATAATCATGGATATCAGCCCAAGGGCAAGGGAAATATTAAGAATAGTAAACATTGGATATCGTTTGGCATTGAGTATTTTGAAAACTGAAGACCCAAGCATGATGCAGATCATGAAACTTGAAAATATGACACCCAGAGGGGGACCTTCTGAATCTAAAATCGGTGTCCAAAGAAAAACAAATATATACATGACACTTTCATATAGCGATTGAATGATACCAATTAAAAGAACACGACGACTCTGTACTATGTCACGAAGGCCATCAAAACATCCTTTACAAAGCTTAGCTTGTTTCGTGCCATAGTTCTCCGTCCAGGTGAAGTACACAATGGTTCCCGATGCCATCAGGAATGGGATTGCGAATATGAAGGGTGACACAGGTCCCAAATCCAATCCTCCGGCCAATATGTTTGCAATAATACCTGCGATGATTGCCAGAATTCCATTCCAAAAAGTAGCCTTTGAAAATGTTGCTGGCAGCCATTCGGCAGGGAAGTCGTGGGTCTCAACATGTTCGTGTACATACCAAGCTTCAAACGCAGTGAAGAGCAACGAAGTTGATATTCCGCTCAAGACTCGACCAACAATCAGGATGGCATAGTCGCGCGATAATTTTGTCAGACAAGACACAGAGTACACAACAGCGAATGTCATACAAAGTTTCTTCCTTCCTAACTTATCAGCCAAAATCCCAGCATATGTACCAAATACAACACTTGATGCAAACCCGCATACATACAATACGGCAATCTGCGATTCAATAAAGCCATAATAACTGTACAGCTTATAAAGATAAGGTCCTTGCAGCCAATCTGCAGCTAATGCTAAGAAATAAACCAAGAAATATCCCCGTTGAAACTGGGTAAAAGTTGGGTTTGAGGTGATAATCACTTCCTGTTTGGTTCCACTGGAAAAATAATGTAGGATACCAGAAAGTACCGAGAGAACACCAAATGATACATATATTAATACCATCATGGTTGATGACTTTCTCTTATGTTATAAAACTATATCTACAACATCCTATATTCAAAGTGACAGACTCTTTTCATCAATTCTGGTTCTGCAGGTCTGTTATATAGTATCTGAAAGAACAGAAATCAGATTAAATAGAAATTTGGTTGTTATTTACACTCATTTATGGTTATCAAATTCAAATGAGATATGATATTGTATTTTGTACCGCATCTACCGTACATGTATGCACAATGCTGATGGCTCAATGCTATGGTAGTTTTGAAATTATATTCTTCCTCACCGTTCACTTTAAAATCACAGTTGCTATGATTGGCTGAAAAGTTTTCAATTGCCAGTTAGAGTTTCCAAATGTTAATTAAATATTTATTAAATTATCACATCCCAACAAAATGCATAAAATTTCAAATTCATGTAAAACATGAAGTGAATTATTCAATGAAAACTAGAACAAATTTATCAGAATAAATGGCATTAACAAAGAAGATGGCAATAATTTAAATTTCACTTAGGCATAAATATTTCTTATATAACAAATTTACAAACCTTTTGTTAATTTCAAATTCTGGCATTAACTAGCCTAATCACAATGCATTGATTGCATGAATAACCCCTGCCTAACCTCCCACTACCTGAAAATGAATATGTATTACACAGTTCAAAGGTTTAGTGCCTTACTGTAGTGATGATACTACTTGTACACTGTAATATTCAAAATATATATCTGCAAACGATTTATTTAATGAATTTGGAGTATGTTTGATGGGATCACAAAAATTAGCTGTGATTGAGGGAAAGATGCAGATACTCATGGGCAATGGGTGTTATAATAGGGTTTCTTATGTCAAATAAAAACTCCTAGTTTGAATGTAACGTGAAGGTCTTCCAAATTTCCATTAAAAAAACATTCATGCCCAAGTCAAATACACTGACAGTGTACGTGTATAATCAGGAGTTTCATCCCACATGATTTCAATTAGAGAAGGTAGGTATTAAATATGGAAACGGACAACAACTCAGCCATAGTACGTACATAGCGGTAGACAGACAATAATTAGTCAAAACTCAAGTGGCGCTAGGGGAAGTGAGATTGTGAAAAAATGTTGCAAATCATTTACATAACTATATTGCAATGCTCACAGAGACGTTCCTAGGGAGTTTGCTACTTACCATACTTGTTGTTTGAGCCCGCAAAATTTACAAATTTACATGTAATCAAAAAGGCATTTCTAAGTCTAGAAAAAACTTCTTCAATATTGTATTCATGCCGACAAAGCTTGAATACTGATGAGCTCATGGCTTTCTTGGCTCTTTTCATCACAATAAATTTTTAAATATATCGTGTTTTTTTTTTGTAATGTTTCAATTTGTTTTAGTTTGTTTGTTGGATTTTATGCAACCCTGTATTATGCATGTCACAAATAGTACAAAATATCTAGTAAAAAGTGTGTAGACTGATATAGAAAATGATATATCCGAAAAGCATGGTATACCGGTACTATTATACTAAAGACTAGGTGGGAGTGCCTTGCAATTCTTGTAACACAATCACATCTCTTTGTTTATATTCAAACCTAATTGCATAAAAGATAACGTCAATGTTTATAGAATAGGAAAATCCAATAAAGAAATTAAAACATAATTTGAAGTTTTATAATTGAATCAATATTTTATCAATATAACATTTCTTTTAATTGATCAGGGTTCATGGAATATAATTGCCTTGATTACTGTACCACCATTTGCATGGTGGCGTGATTGTGGTTTTATGTAATTTATTGCAAATTAGTTAGATGAATATACAATAAATATATAATTTTCAAAATATAAATATTAGTATTTTTAGCCCTAGCTGACACGAATATGCGACAATGGACAGTAACTACGATTAGTCGAGCAGGTCCATAGTTTAGAGCAATCCTAGATACCCGTTTTAGGCTCACACTAAATTTATTCATTTGGGTCTATTTACTTACTCCCTCATATTTCTATCTGGAAATACAAAAGCAAACACAAAAAATGCTCACATCGACAGCAATACTGGCTTCTTCATGTTGAAACGTGCAGGAAAGAAATCAACTGGACACCAACTTACCTGCTTCCACGTAGGATCACAGCCATGTTGTCATCTGGCTACTTCCGGTTTCCAAGTGCAGCTCGGGTATTCTCGCATATTGTCGGTCTTTTCGTGCGTGTCAGCCATCTTGTATGTAAGTTATATTTGTGGTCGTCCTAAAAATCCGTCAGAATCGGGGCCAAATTGGAATCATCATTAATCCGTGATATATACAACTATTGCTGCGATAAATCGACAATCTATTCCCGCAATTATTTGTTTTTATAAAGTCACCACTGTGTGTTTAAAAGCAATTCAAAATTGTTGTATGACACATGGATGTCGTGATATCCCCGTAAAGCAACATAGATCCGTTCAATAAGTAAGATCTTTGGTTCATTTTGTTACTTCTGTCTACAGTATGGGCATAACAAGTACAAGTTAGCCTTTGTCTTGAAAGTCGAGGAATAAATGGAATCTCGCATTCAATACTTTTAGCTCCAAGTTTCTTGTATGAGTTTATTTACATTTTTTTCGATCTGGTTAGGGCACCCTGTAAATGTCCACCGATCCCCCAGAAAGTGGTCGTCTGTATCCATTCACACAGAATAGACCAAGCTCAGGTCCTTGCATGTTTTCCGTCTATAGTTTGTTCGAAGTATAGCACAATTTAATGGTCGCTGGTTAAATTAGGCATTTGTATAGATGGGAAATATAGTATTGCCGTAGGAAGGTCATTGTTATTTTGCTCCAGACACGATGTTACGAATGAAATATTTTTGAATTTAACATTTCTGGGGATGAAATACAGTTTTTGTTAATGTAGTTTTAGTGTTTAAAATGTTGGGTCGCTTGCAGTTATTTAAACTGGGTCTTGTGCAAAATGACTTTGGACTTCCTACACACCTTGTTATGTTACATTTGTTACATTCTTGCTGATCTACACAGTGTGGTCATAAGTTGATGTAATTTGTCACTTAGGCGACCAAGATGGGTGCTTACAAGTACATGCAAGAAGTATGGAAGAAGAAACAGTCTGATGCTATGCGGTTTCTCCTCCGTGTGAGATGTTGGCAATATCGACAGCTAACTGCTATTCATCGTGCACCAAGGCCTACTCGTCCTGATAAAGCAAGACGTTTGGGATACAGAGCTAAGCAAGGTAAGTCTTGTACCAGTGACATTTGTATGTATATTATCAAACAGCCATGGAGCTCTTGGTTTGACTTAATTCACTCACATGAAAATATTAGGTGTGTCGACATAATATCCAATAATCTGGGTGCACTCTGATTTTTTCCCCAAAATTTCAGTAAATATGATAATTAAAAACAGAAATCAAGAAATGGCAAACAGGTCTCATGTACATTTTAATGTAATAATTTAATAATGTAACATCTCAAAATTAGTAAATTTTGAAAAAAATCTGTGTACTACATTTACTAATGATAGAACATGTAATGCATCTTAACCCATATTCTGTCAGCCTCATGTACTTTGACATTGACTTGACCAGATAAGAGCTAATTAGTCTCATTTTTGATGCAGTCCGAAAATGAGGATGTAAGGATTGACCTCTGTGTTCTTGTGTGTCCAGACCTATATCTTAGACATGCCTGGACCGATTACATTCAAGCGTGCATCATCATACATAATATTATACATGTATGCACATCAATTTGTTTCATGATTTGATGCAAGATGGTCGAATGACAACCATTTTTGTGCTTACAAATCGTAGAAATCGAGCATTTCATGCATTCCGTAACCAGATCTTGACTTTTGACTGATTGGGTTTGTTCAAACTTGGTACATACATTAGGCATTATGGGACCTTGATGCACGTCATTTTGTTTTTCAGAACAGATTTGAAATTTTGTTGTAATGAATGTGGTTCTAGTGCCATATTCCTGACATGCTTTGACTATGTTGTATATTCATTATACATCATGTCGTATATGTACAGATGTATTCAAAATAGCCAAAACAAAATCTAGCCAAACATTGGCCATCTTGAATAATTGATGCATAGCAATAGTTATACAAGTGGCAACAGTCAATACCTGGTATCATATTTATACAAAGTGAAGGCATGGAATATTATTTTCATATCTGCATCTTCTTCTCTTCTAGGTTATGTAATTTACCGCATTCGTCTCAGGCGTGGTGGCCGCAAGCGACCTGTACCAAAGGGAGCTACCTATGGTAAGCCAACTAACCAGGGTGTGAACCAACTAAAATGGCAAAGAAGTTTACAATCACTAGCTGAGGTAAGTTTATTTACATATTAGTGTCCTGTTCAATTTCCTTGAAATGTGAAGACTATTTGCTCTGTTGGGACATTTGTCGTCAACGACAATTGTGTTCTAAATGTTGTGTACTGTAAAATACTTCAATTTACTATAATTAATTTTGGCTGAAAGAACCTGTTTACGGTATTTTCAATGAGTTTGGTCGAGTTGAATGTAAAATCCAGGAGAAAAGGTATTTTCGCTGGATTTTATTTTTTTCACTGAATCATAAGTGAAAATCACTAATGAGTGTAATATGATTGGTTGTTAATAAGGCCCCTTTCTGTCTAACAAATAATTAATTTCATGGGCAGAACTGGGTTAAAAAATAGATATGTGTAAAAACAATTACAATTGAAATGCATGCATTGGCTGGGCTCTCTCTGGAATTTGCTAGGTAATATTAAATTTACTAATCAAGAAAAAAGTTTCAGTAAACTTTGTCTGGAAACTGCGGAGCATTTTCCCGTGACCGAGCGCAATAGGGAGAGAGAACGAGAGGGGGATGTCGCCCTCTGTCGTCCGCCGAAAACAAGAACAGCATGCTGAAAATGGTGCTTGCTGGTGCAACCTGAGCTCTAGTTTTGTGTGTAATTTCATGACATCCACAAAATGTACCATTTATGAATACTGTGGAATACTTTATTTTCGCTGGAATTAATTTTCGCTGAAAAGACTTTTTGGGCATTTTGTATGGAATTTATTTTCACTGATTTTTGATGAGTTTAATGGGAAATATAGAAAAAAAAGTATATTCGCTGGATTTTATTTTCACGGAATCATCCCTTCAGCGAAAATAGCGAAAATAAATTCCAAGCGAAAATAAAGTATTCTACAGTATGCAATGTAGACACCAGAAGCTTTATTTGAATAACTCAGTATTAATTAACATATTCATGATAATCTCACATTGTTAACAGTGGGAAAAATAGTCATCATCCAAAACTTCACTAAGTTCACTGCCAAGAACACAAGTCATTTTTGACATATTTGTGGTCAGCAATTCTGGCATGCTTTTAGCAGTAATCTTTAGTCAGATCCACTGGTGAATGAATTCACCTTTCCACTTTTAATGCACCACTGACAGGTCATTACTTTAGTATCCATATTATACTCTAACCATGGAAAAGTAATCTAAAGAAATAAGAAATTTGGTATGTATTACCACATAAAACAATTATAAACAAAATAATAACGTAAGCTCAAGAATAAATACCACTGGCACTAGTAAGTACAAATTAAGCTCTAATTATGTTTATTTTCATTTCATTTCATTTATCCTGCAAATAGTGGACATAAAATAGTAGATTCCTGCACTGGACATATGTGGGCTGTTAAATCCTGTGAATAAACTTTCACGAGGAATTTCTCTGACTCCCACAGAAAAAAAAAACTCTATACCAATCAAAAAGCTATATATTATTATGAAGTAATCTCCCATGCTCATCATGCAAACCCCCATATTGATGTTTATGATGACAAAAAATGACTATTTATTTTATTAAAGTGAATTAAAGTGAAAAAGTAACTAAGTAACTTTCGGTCTTGTAACTCGATCTCAATGCTAAGAATACCTGGTAAGAATGTTACACAAATTATAGTATGTTTCGATCGATTCGCTAACATTGTCTCACCTTCCATTATTTCTAAAATCGTGCTGCAGTACGATCAACTTTCTGTTTATTGGTGCTGTCAGGGTTAGGGCACCCATGGGTTTCTGGTTCTGAACACTATTTCTCCATCTCGTCGTAAAAAATACTCGTCGAGCTGTTGTCTGCTCTTTTTTGACGTAGTCTCCATTTCCAATAAATAAAAAAATCGCGTGTTTGATCAGGGCAACATGAAGCCGTCCCATACTGAGAGTAATGTCGCGGGGTATGTTGAAACGCATGCCAACTAAACTACGCATGTGCGATGACACCAAAATAACTTTAGAGTGGAAAAATACATTCAATGGCAGTTCTGTGTTGATCGCGATCACCGTGTAACAATTGTTGCAATCTTAGAAGTAACAGGACATTGTTTAACTTTAAAATGCCAATCACTCAAACCGTAGTAACACGTGTGATGATTACAGTGGAGTTTTGACAATTAAATGAAGGCGATTTGCAAAGGGTATTTTGTACAAAATGTGTTCATAAATCCTACTAATATATATTTATTTTGTTCATAAATCTTGTCCAAATTTCGTAATTTACGACATTTGCGAGCGACAGCGAGAGCACAGATTGGCAAATTGAAATATACAATTTTAAGTGCATAAATCAAATGAATACTAATAAATAATGGTATGAATAACATACTAACTATATTTTCACGATATTAAATCTAAATAAATCACTATGGAATAAATCTTATAGAATAAAATATAAAAATAACTATATGATACATTTATATATGCACAAGTTATGATTACTGTAAAATACTTTATTTTAGGTGGAATTAATTTTCGCTGAAAAGTTTTTTTGGGTGTTTTGTATTGAATTTATTTTCACTGATTTTTTGACGAGTTGAATGTGAAATATAGAAAAAAAAGGTTATATTTGCTGGATTTTATTTTCACTAAATCATTCCTTCAGCGAAAATGAAGTATTTTACAGTAAGTTTTAAAATGCAAATCAATTCTCACATAAATGTTATTCTCTAAAATTGCAGGAAAGAGCTGGCCGTAGATGTGGTGGATTGCGTGTACTAAACAGCTACTGGGTTGGTCAGGATTCCACCTACAAGTTCTTTGAAGTAATCATGGTAGACCCATTCCATAAAGCTATTCGTCGTAATCCAGACACACAATGGATCTGTAATCCAGTTCATAAACACCGCGAATTGCGTGGACTCACTTCAGCAGGTAGGTTTTGTTTTGTCTTACCAGTATTTAGAAATTGAAATATAGTGTCAATGCGCACTTGTTGCTCTGTACCTTCAACATGGTTGAATAATTAATGGCCCCAAGTGTCCTTGTGGTTACCCTGTCTAGGTTTAAGTCTATTCCACTAATATCTCAAAAACGATTCATCGAATTTCAATTCTACTGTGCAAATAGATGTGCACACTTGATTGGGTGAAAACCTGTGCATAATAGTTCCTTGAATATCTGCTGCTAGTTGAAGCTAATCTAAAATTTCAAATATTTGCTATTTCTCCTTCATATGTCTCCAATATCCTCAGGACACAGGAGAACTTTTTAAGCTTTCTTAGATTGCCTTTACAAACTACTCCATATAAATCCCATTGTGCATATCAAGAATGTTCATTCATATTGTGTATTATTTTCTAGGCAAGAAAAATCGTGGTATTGGTAAAGGTCATTTGCATACTCAGACGATAGGTGGTTCTCGCCGTGCCGCATGGAAACGTCGCAACACACAACAGATGCATAGATATCGTTAACCTGTCTGACACATTTTTTTCTTTTATGTTGTGGCTCCTTATACTTCACTGTAAACAGAGTCAATAAAAATAAAATAAAAAGTCGTAACAGTACATTGCCAGTCTTTTCATTACGTCATTTCCCTCACCCTAGATTTTCCAAATAGGATGTTGCAGTATTGTATATAAAATTTTATTGTTTAAGTGACAAATTGCACATTTGAAGAATAGTCTTGTTCAGGATATGCCCAGGAGTTTGTTTGCCCGCTATTTTTTTCCCTCCCCTACGTTTTGAATGTATTGTTTGACAGCTATGATTTGAAAATGAGTCTTGAAAAATCACCATTCAAAGTTCGTTTTAGGCCATTAAGGATGAGACCAGGTTCCTGGGCGCTTATATTCAAACCTGTATATCAGTGAAGATGGCATTTGACTCCCTACATGTTAAATATTTTTAGTTAGACGTGTGTGTGAATTGTGTGAACATTTTTTTCTTCTCAAACTAGTGAAGTGTATGTGCGTTTCTCTCGAAAATAGGCTTTTTTGAGTTTTTTTTTCACTCAAAAAAGACGTACCGGGAAAACATACTGAAGTTGCAGACATCCTGTCTATTATGAACTGATCAGCAGACTGGGAATCGGACAGTGTCCAGACGGTACAATGCGATGAGAATGTTCTGTGAAAAAAAAATTGAACTGTTCCCGAGTCTGTCGGACTTCTATTGAAGTATTGCGCATAGTGCCAAAATGAAAGGCTTGAAAATGGCAAATTTGCATAAAAAGTAATTTCTTGTCTTTCTACTCGACTGGAAACTTGTTTGAAACTATAATTTTTTCATAATAATTTGCTTGGATAATACTCGCGTGTTTGACGTCCCAATTGACGAAAATAATCATACAGCGACAGATATTTTTGGGGAAAATGCAACGAAGTTTCGGAAACCACTCAGTAAAATGGCGTCGCTTGTTTACTGAGTAAACAAGTGAGGACAACCATTTAATCTTGTCATTAAAATAAACGCGAAGTGTAATGAATACGTGGGATTAGGTCATAAGCCGTTAGTCTTGTTGCCGTGATAAAAAAAATCCTAATGGACTAATGGAGCTTGTCTTCAGTCCTGTCGCGTCAATTGTTTTGGATTAAATATTTGTGCATATTAATCACCTAATTTGCATAATTAGTTGATTTTCAGTTCCACTGATGTATCAAGTACGAATCATCACATTTCAATGAAACTTGGTACATAGATCCTGTAGGTTTAGGTCAATTTTGGGGTGAATATTTGTGCATTAATTGCCTAATTTGCATAATTAGGTAATTTTCAGCTTTTACACTGATATATCAAGTATGAATCATCACATTTCAATGAAACACTGGACATAGATCCTGTAGGACTATGCAGAGACCCGATTTAGTTTTGGGGTAAATATATAATTTACATAACTAACCAATTTTCAACTTTACTGATATATCAAATACTAATCACATCTCAATAACATTTGATACATAAATTGCTCTAAGACAATGGACAGACCCGATTAATTTGGGGTTAAAATATGTACATATTAATTACCTAATTTGCAATTTTAGCTTTCACACTGATATCCACAGTACTAATTATTCAATTTCAATGAAACTTGGTACATAGATGCTGTAGGTCAATGTGCAAACCTGATTAGTTTTTGGTTAAAATCTATTATTTCCGTAATTAGCATAATAATTCTCAATTCAGACACGTGTACATTAACCAAATAATGCAAAATTATATTCTGGAATAGAAATAACAACTTCATGTTTCAGCTCAATTTCCTGTACACCCACATCATCAATTATACATATCCATGCATTACATACAAATACGTTTCCTTTTGCGGGATATGCCCTTCCAGTGATCATTGTCACAATTATTAAACTGTCATAGATTCAACTCCCCCTATCCACCTAGTAATTGCCACTGCCTTCTGCACTTGCCAATTACAGCGGAGCTCTACCCACTGCAAGGTCGCTTGTTTTTCAGCGGGCGGGGCTTTTGGTGATTGTTTGTCATTGTCCCTCCTTTTTTTTTTTTTTTTAAACAAATTCTTGTTAGCATATGTTCCTTCAGTGGACCTCTATGAGATCTGATCAGCTTCTCTGGTTAGTTGTGTTTAGCATGCTCTTGAAGACGATTACGAACATCATTGAATGATGGGAATTATTGTAGTGAAGAAAATAAATAACTTGTGTCAAATTTAGACCAGTATAACTCACGAACGTTTTAAATTTTTGATTTGATTTTTGACCAAGTTATTCAAAATTGAAAGGGCTTTAAAGTTTTGCCAACAATACAACTTTAAGTCCGACATGGGGATCGGGTGGACAATCAAGCATCAACTGTATGATGTCATATGAAAACAAAAGATTATGTTTACGACCTTGTGGTGGCGCGATATTTCGTCGGACGTGACCCACAATCGACCCACAGACCCATATGCGTGACCCAGCCTACATCCGTACTAGCGGGATTAATTTCTGGTAAGTGCATAAAACAACTCGATTATGATCATAATCTTCTACTGTCGCATGTGTGGGTAGGAACGGATCGTGTCTGGAAAGTAGTCTAGGAGTATGCTGCCAGTACGCTCCTTTTTTAGGCAGTAAATATAATGCGGAAATAGATGTCCCTTGTTATCGATATACAACAGTGGAATACATCATTGTCACGTGAACTGCGAGGAGATTATTGTGTTCATCTCATATTTTTCCCTTGTTTATTCTCAATTTTATTTTGGGATAGAATACGGACTTTTTGGGGGAAATCCCCTATATTAAAGAAGCGCCAGGAAAATGCGCAGTTTTCTCATTCAAATCGTACGCCTCTGCCAGTGTGTATTTGACGTGTTCGGCTAAGGTCAGTTTATATAGTTAAACTTCCACTACTACCACAGGGAACCCATGAACCGTAAACCGTGCTAGAAGTTACGTTTACCGTAACTGCATGTGTGCACCCCCCTCCCATGGTTCCTGCACTATTACCAAATCA